TGTTGTAGAATTTTCCTTGTTCAAAATAAATTGCTAAAGAGGTTTTGAAGCCAGTAGACTTTATTGATCAAACAACAAAGCCGAGTTACAGTTTGCAAAGGTAACTCCCGAATGTCTTTTCTACACAGATATATATATGCCTGGAGTTGGTTACATAATTCCATATATGTATTGTTGTATTTTTAGACAGGTGTTTCTTACCATATATAGAATGATCAATAGCTGTCATGTATATTTCTAGGTCCTGAACAGATTCTTTCCATATATGCAGGGTCTTCAAGTTTTAAATAGTTCACTCAGTTCTTTCACTGCAGCTTTTAACCCACAGTTACTACACATAGTCTCTTTAAATAATAATAGTAGAATAATTTTTTCTTATCTATAGGCATAATTATATGTATTATATTGAATTAAGATCCCTGAATATCTTCTACACAGTCTGTATAACATTGACTTTGTTATCATTATTAATGTGTTATGCAGTATTTAAGTGATTGTACCCATCCTAGATGCTGATTGGTTGCTGTTTCAGTCATGTTAAAATATATGCTATAGTAACATCTTGTAATAGATGATACATTGGGCATGTAGATTAATTGACATTTTTTTGATTAATAATTGCAAATTATATGCAAAGAAATAGCTTAAATTAAATAAATGCTTATTTATGTATGTTATAATATGTAAATGCATATTTATATGTGTATACAGTATATTTACATTACATTTACATTGTCATTTAGCAGATGCTTTTATCCAAAGCGACTTACAAATGAGGACAATAAAGTATATATAATAAGTATATATATGTATAATATATGTGTGTGTGTGTATATATATATATATATATATATATATATGTATATAAAATTATTTACTTTTTATATGAATTAAAATCTAATCTAAATGTATATTTATCAATGATTACATTTTAGTTATGTATGTAAGTGCAATTCGATTTATTAAGTTATATATATTTCTTTAATATAATTAAAATCTAAATAAATGTTTATCGATTATTACATTTTAGTTATGTACAAGTAATTAGATTTTAATTAGATTTTATATAATTAAAATAAAATAATTTATATAGATATATCGTTAGATTTTAATGATATTAAAATATATATATATTTTTTTGTTTATTTATTCATTTATCATGGTTTGCAGGTCTCTCTGAAAGAAGTTCTTGGAAAGTTAGACACAAGCAATGCTGTTCAAGCTAATGAGCACCTGGAGAGGATTCTGTACATCTGCCACACACTTGTAGAGCATCGCAAAGGAGCAAAGATAACAAAACCCCAGTCTGTTTGTGAGGTGTGTATGTGTGCGTTTCTGTAGCACTCAAAGATTGTGTTCTCATTGAGTTCTGTTGCATCTCTGATATCTCTTCCCCCTTTTTTGTAATATTTAGACACTTCTTCAGCTAGTTCAGGCACCAGGACTGTCCTACTCCTGCCACAGGCTGCTTTTACAAGTAGTCTCTGCTCTATTGATGGGGGAGAATCTGTCATTACCTGCCAGCAGCATCCATGAACTATTGAAAAAGGTTTGTTTAATGTGCACCTATACATACGCTTTTTCGTCTGTTTTCCTGTTGACCTCATTTTCTCTCTGGTCCCCCACACAGGTCTTCAATAGCAGCATGGACAGAGACCTCATGTTATCATTTACCAAAGAGATGTTTGACATGAAACAGTTTGAGCAAGTCAGTATAAGCCCTCATCAGCAGGATTACGTTCTTCAAGATCAACTTCCAACTCTTTTAATGCTCCTTTGTGTTTTTCTAGTTGTTCTTACCCAGTTTACTGCAGTATCTGGAGCAGCTCTTCTGCATGGAAGACTCTGTAAACCGACAGCTGGCTCTGGAGCTGCTGGTTGGTCTGATTTTGTCTAAAGCTCCACCCCCCACTGACGGCTCCATGGCTTTTGAGAAGTACCCATTGATCTTCACTGGACAGACTGTCAGGTAAGAGCTGGGCTTTTGTTTGGAAAAACTACTCCATAAAACAAATTATACTTCATAAATGAATACGCATAAATTCCAAATTCTGTTTTAGGTCAACTGGACCTGAAAGAGACCAGACAGTCTCTGTTCCCCAGCAGATTCTTTCTGTCATAGACTTCCCTGCCGATCAGCCGCTTTCTGATCTTTCCCATCCCTGGGCTGCGCTGGTGCTGCTCCCACATGTCAGGTAAAGACTTAATTACCCACAATCCTTTGGGTGTTAAAGGGATAGTTCACCCTAAAATGCTGTCATCATTTACTCACCCTCAAATTGTTCCAAACAGTTGCCGGTAGCCATTCACTTTCAGGGTATGGCAAAAATACTATGGAAGTCAATGGCTACCGGCAGCTGTTTGGTTACCAACATTCTTGAAAATATCTTCTTTTGTGTTAAACAGAAGAAAGAAACTCATACAGGTTTTCAGAATACAGAATTTTCATTTTTGGGTGAACTGTCCCTTTAAATAACGTACTGCATAAATTAATCTAATCTTCTTTTGCATCCTCAGCCAATCAGTATTTTATATAATCCCATTTTTATGATATTCTATCATGCAGATGTAATTTTATAGTAACATTCACATTAAGTCATCACATTTATTTTTATCGTGCTTTATACAATACTGATTGTTTCAAAGCAGTTTCACAGTAATAAAAAAGAAAATAGCAGTATTGAAGTTCTTCAGTTATGAAGTGAATAGAATTTCAGCTGTAAAAAGACAATCGTGTCATTATTCAGCTCAGTTTAATTCAGTGTTGATTCAGTTTAGTTCAAACAGTATGAATTATGCAAAGTACATTATTAATGAAGCAAACAAAGATAATAGTATCATTACTTAGCTCAAGTTAGTTTAGTGTTGTTTCATTTTAGTTCAGTGAGTGTGCAAAGTTATGTATTTGGTCTTTTAATAGTCTTTTGCTGTATAGTTTGGTATTTGTGTAAATATGCAACAATTAAAATTTTTTGCAGACCGTTAGAAGCATCAAGCGTTATACCGGCCATCACTGCACTACTGAACAGATTACTGCAAGAGGTGTGCAGTAAAATTCTGGGGAGAGGTCAGTCAAGTGTGTGTGAGATTTATAGCCTCAGTCACATAGTTACAAGCTTTAATGTTCAATCTTTAACTTTGTAAGATGTAGTTTGTTCCTGATACGTCCTTCTGTCCCCTCAGGAGGGCTATTTGTAGCCCGACAGGCTCTAAGCACCTTGCTCAGCTTCAAGGAGACTGCAGCGGTACAGTCGCTCCTGCCTGCCGAGTTGGTCAGAAACATCATCGAGTATGTGCTTCAGTAATTACATCTGAACATTCTAGAAAAATGGACCTTGCTTGTTAGATTAGGAAATTATAGAAATACATTTTTGCTTGTGTTCATTACAGGAAATTCCCCACGGATCTTTCAGCGCTGCTGTTAGGAGATCTGTACTACACCAGACTGGCACTCAACGGCTGCTCGGCTCAGCTGTCCCATGATTCTCTGCTGGAATTGTACCAGATACTATATTCCAATTTTTCTTCCAACATTTCCAAGGTGAGGTTTAGCCCAGTGAGGGTTGGTATTGTCCTGGAAAACCTGGAAATATGATTTCAGGCCTGGAAAATGTATATAAATGTATTAAATCTTTAAAGGTTATGGACATTTCTGTAACTATTTACAAAAATAGTTTTATGTATATATTTTAAAAAAAATCATTAAACAGTCTTCACAAATGACTATAAAATTCATGGATAAACCTTCTTTACTTAGAACATCTGTGGAAATTCTTGACTTAGAACATCTGTGGACCCTGATGTTATAAAACTGCAGATTTTACAAGTTCAATTTCTTTTTATCCTCCACAGATTCGTTTGCTGACCCTCAGAATTATGTCTAACTTTGAGGCTGATCTTCCGAAACCAGCTGAGGTAACATTTATGAGATTTTCTAAAAGCAATGGCTGTGAAAAACACATGCACCTATTTATCAACTCATGGCATGTCTTGTTTAGGGAGAGGAGAGCTCAAATGCGCAGACGGTGTTCGCCGTGTGCCTGCAGGCAGAGCAGGTCCCGGCCACAGTGCAGGACTACAGGGAGAAACTTCTACATCTTCGTAAACTCCGTCATGACCTAGCGCAGCCCTGTCTGCCCAAGGGACCTTTCCATGAGGTAGCTAATGCCTTTTACTCCTATCAAATATTGAATTATTTTTGAAAATCGTTGTTAAGGATGTTTTTGTGTTTTACAGGTTCCTCTTCGTTATCTTATTGCAATGCTGTTTGTCAATTTCCGACCTCTCTGGGACGCAGTTATTGATATGTTGGTGTAAGTATCATGCTAACTGCCATTGCTTGTTTTATTTTTGTCTTCTGCCTTTAAATCCTCATATCTTCCTCACCCTGTGTCTCCAACAGTATTCTCTGTTTCTCTATTACTTCTGCCTTGGTTTAATATGCTTTCATTTGCTCAGGACCCACGCTAAAGAAATGGACAACAAGTCTTTCTGGAAGGTCTATTATGAAAATCTGGAGATGGTTGCTGGTCTAGCTGGTGAGTTTTCATTGAGTTGTTGACCTGTTAGACCTTCCCTATAGTCTTCACTTTAAAGATGCTTAAATATTTATTCTCAGAGGAAGAGCTTCAGGCAGATGATGAGGATGGAGGCAGTGAACAATATCAAGCTGCAAAGCAGCTTCGAGTTCCAGGGACCAGTGTGATTGAAAGCGGGGATGTGGGAGTTTTGTTTCTGGAACAGCTGGACCATGTGCTGAATCCCTCTGAGCGGACGGACTTCACAAACTTCTGCAGCCTGCTTTGGCGAGCAATGGCCGCTGAGATACCGGAATGTACCAATTGCCTCAGGAAGTCTTTTAGTCTATTATGATATTCATTTCACATCTCTGGGTTACTTTGAGCTACTTTTGTCATTTGATGCAGGGAAAAAATAACTAGAGGCAACCCTCGCTGATCTAATTTTAAGGCTTTTCTCCTACTTCAAACTTGCCGTAGGGGTGCTTTAAACAAGTTTTAAACATTTTGTAGTTATGTGGACTTTTTTTATTATTTATATTTGGGGGTTTATTAATATGATGGCTTACAGCAATACTTTGAGAGCTTTTTTTAAACATTGCTGAAGTGGCGGTATTCCCCAGGGCTTTGTTTTAGGTACATAATAATTGTCGATTTGTCACTGTTTACAGAGACAATCTGGAGAGACTTCTGGATGACAAGCACTTTAAAGATGAGATTGTCCATTTCAACATCTCAGAAGAAGGAGCCGTGGTACTTCCGTCGCATAGACCCCAGCTCATTCCCATGCTTATGAGGTGTGTGTTTAGATGCACAATGCATAGTGTGTTTAGATGCACAATGCATATTAATGATGTCATTGCTCTATCATCCACTGTTGTTTCTTCGCTGAATGTTAATGTTATGTGCCTGCAGTTAGTAGTTATTTATATATTCTTTCAGGATACTATATGGGCGGATGTGCCCTAGGGTTGGTAATAGGTTTCAGGGTAAGGCGAACACAGCTTCACGTTCCTCCATAGTGCTGCGCTTCCTGGCAGGCTGTCAGCCAGAGGAGTTGGGCATGTTTATAGATCTTCTGCTGGAGCCTGTTTGTCATCATGCTGAAGGTACTGACTTGAATTTTAAGCTTTTTAAAATGATTACATCCTAACATACCCCTTAAATACACCTGTTTTGCAATTAATTAGATAATATATTATTTGGACCATTTATGAACCTTATTTAATAATGAGGACCATCTTCACAATATAGGATATTTATAAATTAACTTCTTTAAGCTAAACCAACAGAATCTGTTTTACTCATTTTACTTTTTCAAAAAAGAGCAGATGGATAAAAAGCAAACATTGATTTTAAAGAAGCATCAACGTGGATAGCATCAACAGTGCTATTCACTGCTTCTTCTTTTAAAGAAGCATCAACAGTGCCTGGCCCTTCTTAGGGTTCGCAAAACACACAGAGGTTTTCAGATCGTCTAAAAACCTTTGTCTTCTCCAAGTAAATCCTTAATGCCCTAATCGGACATAAGTGCTGCAGATGCCCTATCATTGGGGACTCTGAGAGAGGAGGGTGGAAAGCCTGAATTTCTATCTCCATACATGAATAGCAAGGCTTGATTACCTTGGGCACAAATGCTGGGTGTGTGCGTAAGGTAACTTTGGAAAAATTGATAATTTGTTGCTTCCAGGAGCGTGTCTGGCTGCGGTAGAACGAGCTGTAGCCAAGACGAACAGCTTTTTTTATGCTCATCCATAAAATGGGCCATCTCATCCACATCTACCTGCCCAAAGTTCTGCAGATCCTGCTGTGCATCACGGCCTCAGTGTCATTTATACTGGATCACAGAGAACAGGTCAGCTGAATGCAGAAAACCATCCTCATTAATCGTTTAATGCAAACTGAAATTTTGCACTTAATTGTGTAAATAATTCCTGGAGTTCCTCTTCAGAGTCAGCATTTTGAGGGCCAGTGTGTTTTTTTCAAAGCACATTATCAGATTTTAGTCTTTTTAGTATATTGTGTAGTGGTTGGATCTCTTTTTGAGGGTGCTGATCTCAAGCGCTTACTGTTCTTGATGTTCCTCTAGCTCAAACCCGGTTGCATCAATCCTCTGAAGAACTTACGCCGTCTGGGGATTCTGCGCATACAAGACTTCTTTGATGACTTTGAGTCTTACAGCTTCACTGCAGATGAGCTGGACGCAGTGTTTCAAGCTGTAGTGTGGCCTAAGGTGTGTGCTTAAGGGAGAAATCTAACTGGATAACTTCAGTAACCTTAATAACCCAACTAAGATAAAAAGTATGGCTCATTGTAATTTAAAGAAGTTTCACACTCTTTCAAAAGAGGCTTGGAAACTTGTGTGAAATTCGTTTTTATCCTCAATTTTTGACAACAACTATGAGATTTTGAATGTTTAAACGAGGACTGGAGTCAGTAACCCAGCTGACCCGCTTGTGTTTTGTTCATTAGGTGTGTCTTTTGTCCACTGAAAGCCCGTATTCACCACCGCCCCTCCTGAAAGTCATCCGTGTGTGGAGCCAAAATCCTAGGTGAGTTCATTAACCACAGGTTTGTGGACTCGGTACAATGGTACCCTAAAGGAATAATTTCTAGTTTTTTAATAATAATTTTTTTTCTTTAGAGCTGCTTTATAGCTGGATATAATTCGTTCCTAAATTGTTGAACTTTGTAACATCTGACATTGAACTGAATCTTGGGGACTCTGAGAGAGGAGGGTGGAAAGCCTGAATTTCTATCTCCATACATGAATAGCAAGGCTTGATTACCTTGGGCACAAATGCTGGGTGTGTGCGCAAGGTAACTTTGGAAAAATTGATAATTTGTTGCTTCCAGGAGCGTGTCTGGCTGCGGTAGAACGAGCTGTAGCCAAGACGAACAGCTTTTTTTATGCTCATCCATAAAATGGGCCATCTCATCCACATCTACCTGCCCAAAGTTCTGCAGATCCTGCTGTGCATCACGGCCTCAGTGTCATTTATACTGGATCACAGAGAACAGGTCAGCTGAATGCAGAAAACCATCCTCATTAATCGTTTAATGCAAACTGAAATTTTGCACTTAATTGTGTAAATAATTCCTGGAGTTCCTCTTCAGAGTCAGCATTTTGAGGGCCAGTGTGTTTTTTTCAAAGCACATTATCAGATTTTAGTCTTTTTAGTATATTGTGTAGTGGTTGGATCTCTTTTTGAGGGTGCTGATCTCAAGCGCTTACTGTTCTTGATGTTCCTCTAGCTCAAACCCGGTTGCATCAATCCTCTGAAGAACTTACGCCGTCTGGGGATTCTGCGCATACAAGACTTCTTTGATGACTTTGAGTCTTACAGCTTCACTGCAGATGAGCTGGACGCAGTGTTTCAAGCTGTAGTGTGGCCTAAGGTGTGTGCTTAAGGGAGAAATCTAACTGGATAACTTCAGTAACCTTAATAACCCAACTAAGATAAAAAGTATGGCTCATTGTAATTTAAAGAAGTTTCACACTCTTTCAAAAGAGGCTTGGAAACTTGTGTGAAATTCGTTTTTATCCTCAATTTTTGACAACAACTATGAGATTTTGAATGTTTAAACGAGGACTGGAGTCAGTAACCCAGCTGACCCGCTTGTGTTTTGTTCATTAGGTGTGTCTTTTGTCCACTGAAAGCCCGTATTCACCACCGCCCCTCCTGAAAGTCATCCGTGTGTGGAGCCAAAATCCTAGGTGAGTTCATTAACCACAGGTTTGTGGACTCGGTACAATGGTACCCTAAAGGAATAATTTCTAGTTTTTTAATAATAATTTTTTTTCTTTAGAGCTGCTTTATAGCTGGATATAATTCGTTCCTAAATTGTTGAACTTTGTAACATCTGACATTGAACTGAATCGAATCAACACTGAACTGACTAATGTGAGATATAAAGAAATGTGACTTGACTTGAATAATAAAAGTGTTAACACAATTTATGATGCCATTGTTGTCATATTTCATTGCTGATTTGAAATGTTTTAGCAATGCAGTCTGATTATAATATAAATGTTGTCTTTTCTCCCTGTCAGGTATTTTCCTTTGCTTGCTAAGCAGAGACCGGGCCACCCTGATTGTGACGTCCTGCTCAATGTATTTGCTCTGTTATCCTCCAAAAACGTGTCTGCCATCACGACGGCCATGGTAATGGATATAGCCGAGAGCTTGCTGACCACTCCTGACTATGAACCCAAGGAGAATGAATCAGATCTGATTGTGAACGACTGTGTGATCCCCGAACCCGATCAGAGCTGTAACGTGTCAGGTAGCCATCAGGGGTGTTGATGATTATAATAGAGGACCCACTATTATTTGTACATTTGACTTCTCTGTTTCTCTTCTCCGGGTAGATTCTTTGACTATCGGCTGCCATCTGCTCCTTCCTCACATCCCAGCACTGCTGCAGTACCTCAGCGGAGTCGTGCGTAACTCTGAACGCCTCAAGAAGAAGAAATTCAGAGCTCAAGTCAGCAAAGAGCTCAACATCCTCTCAAAGTATGTCCATATAAATCTATGTATGCACAGAGGCACCTTAAAGGGCCGTTCACCCAAAGAACAATAACCATAAATGTTTAATAATCATTCTTTTTCTATGACAATTACGAATTCCACATCATAGTAACGACACAGGAACTATATTGTTGGAATCACTTTCAGAATGTTATTTTCAAATCTAAATCCACTGACTTTATAGAACACGAGCATTTAATATATAGTTATCATTATAGTTATCATTCTTGGTGTGAACGGGTCTTAATAGGTACTTCAGTAGTTCTCATCTTTGAAAAGATCTGCAGTCCAGTTTGGCCCACCAAGTTGAGAATTTGTGCTGTATCATATACTGTGAAGTAAAATATACAAATAGATGATTGATTTTAATGGTTTTAATTCTGTTCCAGGATCAGTAGATTTGTGACTGAAAAAGAACAGAGTTCAACACTCATCGGTTTACTTCTGCCTTACCTTCACAAACCCAAAACTGCTCAGGTACAATCCAGTCACTCACTTTTCACTTTCATGCCAAATAAAAAAATGTATGATACAGGTTAAAAGTTTGGAATTATTAAGATTTTTGAAAGAAGTCTCTTAGGCCACCAAGGCTGCATTTATTTGATCAAAAATACAGGAAAAACAGTAATGTTCTAAAACATTATTACAATTTACAATAATCGTTTTCTAGTTGAAAATAAAAATGTAATTTATTCTTGTGATGCGAAATTGAATTTTCTGCATCATTACTCCCAGTGTCACATGATCCTTCAGAAATCTATTTAATATGCTGATTTGCTGCTCAGGAAACATTTCTTATAATTATTGATGTTTAACACAGTCATTCTACTTTATTATTATTTTATGGAAACTGTCATACACTTAATCTAAAGTGTCAGGAAGGACATTTCAAATGCTACAAAAGATTTACATTTCAAATCAATACTGTTAAATTTTCTATTCATTAAAGAATTCTCAAAGTTCTTTGCTTTCACTGGAATTAATTACATTTTAAAATATGTTCAAATGAAAAAGTTATTTTAAATTAATAAGTAATAATATTTTACAATATAATTTCTGTTATTTTTTGGATCAAATAAATGCAGCCTTGGTGAGAAAAACATTGCAAAATCTTAATTATTCCAAACTTTTACCAGTAGTGTATGTTATTATGATACTGTGTTGTTGTTATTATTATGTTTATGTTATCCTTTTATGAGCATTTCCTTGTCTTTTCTTTCAGGAAACAGAGCTGGATATCCTGGGTACTTTGAAGAACCTGCTGAGACAGTGTTCAGAGCCCAGCATGTTTCTCAAGCCTCTCAGCAAGCTTTTGTCCATCATCCACAACAGACTTTCACGTCAGGCTCTGTGTGAAGCGTTTCTGGTCAGTTTCTGCATTTCTATCCGCTGTAACACCACTTTAGTCCTTTTTAAAACACTTCCCGACTGACCATATCTCTCTCTGCAGACGCTGTCAGACATGGACGGTGAACTGAAGTACATCACAGATGTTGTGATTCAGGTAATGGTCCATTGAGGCAATCAGAAACAGAATTAGTTTTATTTCTTCCAATCATGTTCGTATGTGAGTGGCTATCATTTCTTCCCCAGCTCAACGCATTTGATAGCCGCCATCTGGATGAGATTCACTTTGACATGCGGCTCGTGGCGTTCCAGAAGGTCACCAAGCACGTTAAAGAGATGAGCTCTCTGGATATGAGATACCTGACTGCTATTATGCACAACTGTTTCCACTCCTTAGAGGTGACCGTTCTTGTGATGTTACTGTTAGCCTCTAAATGTCTTTTTCTGTGTCTTTTTGCTTCTTGACCTGCATTAATTTTTGAATGCTTTTGGTGGGTTTCCGAGACAGATCGGTGACATGTCTCTGGCAGACAGCGCCACCATGTGTTTGTCAGCCGTAATAACGCAGCTCTCTGAAGTCGGATGCCCAGAGGCAGAATACAAGGAGATTGTGCAGTACACCATACTGGATGCAATACGAAAGGGTTTGAAGAGCAAGACTGAGGTAACCAGTAACATCTTACATTAGTACATCACTGCTGTATGTATATTTCACATATATTCATTAATTTTTTTTTTCCCCGCAGAGTGTACGAAATGATTACACTACAGTGCTGGCCTGTCTGGTGAATACCTTCCCAAACCGATCAGAGTTTCATGATCTGGTGCAGCTGACAGACTATAATGATCCAGAATCAGATTTCTTTGAGCATATGAAGCACATACAGGTAAAACAGATATACATAAAAAAGAGATATGCATAAAAAAGAGAAAAATTGTCTCCAACATTTTCACTGAAAAGTAAGAATACATTACGGTAATATTATATAAATGTAATTAAAAATTATAATTAAAAAGCAAGTAAAATATGAAGAAATTAAAATAAAATAAAACATACATAAAACTAAATATTATTAAATATAAGTTTTCTATAAAACAACAACAACAACAAAAAATCACATCAAACGAGCATTATATATTAAAATTAAAAAGCAATTAAAAATTTGAAAATGAAAATAAACACATTAAACTACTATATATATATATATATATATAATTTCTTAAGTATATAGACATATATAGATAGATAGGTAGAAAATTTATGGTGTGTATTAATAAATGGAAATAAAAAATATATTTTTATTTCATTTGTTAATACACACCATAAATTATTAACATAAACATAAAATAAATGTGTATATACATTAGTGTGTATATGTGTATATATATATATATATATATATATATATTAGTAATTAGAAAGTAATTAAAGTATTAATAAATAATACATCAAACTTTTATTTAACATGCTATTTATAAATATGCAACTTATTTATATATATTGATAAATGTTAATAAAACAAATACACGAAACTAATGTTTTTTTATTTTAATTTTTCATTTCTAATATAAAACCAGTGCTCTTATTTGACCCTAATCGTTCCATCTCAAAACACAGAAAATGGAGAAGTCTGATTGTTTTTCAGGTTTACAGAAGGGGTCGAGCGCTCAGGAAGTTCGCCAGGCAGCTGACCGAGGGCAAGATTGTGATGTCATCGCGCTCCATGCAGAATTACGTCATGCCCTACGGCCATGATCGCTCTAGTTGACGAAAAACTGCTGAAGGTTGTTCTTGAGTCAGGTTGTGTTTTTAACTATTTCAGTGGTTGTCAGTAGACTGTGCTTTAAACAAATAAATTCTCTGTGTTACCAGTATGAACCCATGACAACAGCCGCCGTAGAAGTTATTGGTGCCGTGTGCAGACGCTTGACCTGGTCCAAGTACTTGTTCTACCTCAAACACTTCGTCCATGTTTTACAAACCGGAATAGCTGAGCAGAAACTGGCTGTCAGGTACACTTCCTGTGCATTTGTGTTTTTTCTGTGATGTTTTGTCCTTGATATGACATTGAATGATTTTCCTGACTCTTTTCATTGGCGTAGCTTGTTGCTGACCGTTCTTGATGCGTTCCACTTTGACCATGAGACTCTCAGTAAAGAAATCGAGGCGGCTAAGAACAAGAAGACAGATGGTAAGAGTTGCACAACAGCCACATTAAACATCCTGTTAACCCACACAGAGCTTAACATGACAAATGTGATTTATCAACCTCAGAGCCCAGTGTTGTGGTGGAAGAAGCTGAAGACGAGGCAGCGGAAACCATGGACACGGATGAGAGTGATGCTGAAGATGCCATGGAAACCGATGAAGCTGGAGCAGCTGTTTCCACAGCAACGGATGCTGAGACGGAAGGCCCTGCCAAACCAAAAGAAAGCAAAGAGAGTCAGATGAAGAAAGTTTCCCCTGTCGTCAGCAGTGGTCTTCCACAGAGTGAACGGGATCTAGAGGCGCTCATTTCCAGCATTCATCACACAGTCACTCAGAGCGTCCTGCCCAAACTTCACAAGTGCCTCACTGCGAAGGTCTGAGCTCATACATCATACTTAATGAGTTTAGTTTAAAGCAGAGCCAGACTGAAAGCTCTTAGTGGACTTTATTGCCGTCTGAAGTCTACAAAGGATGTAACTAACAATTGAAGACTCACAGTTGATTTCATTAGGGTTTGGTGTTAGCTTGTTCTGCAATGAATCAATAGAAGAAAAAAAAATAGATGGCACAGACAAGTATTATGTGTTTATACAATGTTTCTGCAGGGCTTAAAAAGGTTTAATTTGCCCATATACAAATGAAGGCCTTAGAAAGGTCTTAAATCAGACCAGAAAGTCTTAAATTCATAAAATCATGGCATTAAATGTTGCAATACTAAAACAAAACTTCCTCTGTATTTTTGTTTTGTTTTCCAATATGAATGTCTAAACATCCTTAAATCAAGATGCATTTACTTGAGATGAAAAATGATGATAAGAAGTCTTGATTTCTGGAAAATGTATCAAAATAAGTGAGTAAAACAAGAACAAAATGGTCAGTGTTGTATAAAAACTAGTTTTCCCCTTGAATTAAGTATATTTTTCTGAGCCCGTTGGCAGGTATATGTTCTTGTTTTAATCATAACTCAATTTAGATATTTGCACTGGAAAACGAGACAAAAATAATAAGGAAGGTACTTTTCACAACATATTGACACATTGTGTTCCTTTTAATTTATTGCTTAAAATTTCTTTGGTTGGTCTTAAAAAGGGCTTAAATGTTACTTTATAAAATATAGTTGCTCGTGGAAAGAGATGTTTAGCATCAACTAATTGTGCACCAATATTCATTTCTGCAGGTTAAACGAGATGACGAGCACAAGATGGTGAAGTCTAAGGAGGTGAAAGATGAAGAAGTGGTCAGAGTGCCTATTGCATTTGCCATGGTTCAGCTCATGAAGTCTCTGCCAAAGGAGGTCATGGAAGCCAACTTGCCTGGGTATATTTGCTAATTTTCTTAATATAAGTTTCTGTTTGAGTGTGGGAGAGATTGATCACCAGTTGTGCTGCAAATATTCCAGCTGTTCTTTAATTTTGAGTGTTCATCAGTGCAACAATGCATTTTCAGTTAACATCAGAACGTGACGCTATGCTCAGTTTGATGTTTATATTACAGCATCTTCCTGAAAGTGTGTGTCCACCTGAGGAGCCGTTTCCAGGAGATCCGTGATGTTGCTCGAAACACTTTGGTGAAGATCAT